GTTCCCAGCAGCAGAGACGCCCCGACTCCGGACCTGGCGAGGCCTACGGTTTCCGGCGGTCCGGCTCTCCACTTCCTGCCCCAGAGAAACACGGTTCCGGGAAAACTGATCCCCACTTCCGGTCTCAGAGAACTACAATTCCCGGCGCCACTTTCCTCACTTCCGGTCCCGGGGAACTTGGGCAGTGCCCGTCCGGGGACGCAGGGCTGAGCCCCAGGTCGGCCACCAGCTGGAGGCCCGCGGGGGCCGAATTCCCGGTTCCCACGCCGGCCCGGTCGCCCGCGCAGGGCTCGCCTTTGGATCCGGGTCTCCCCTCGGAGGTTCGCAGGCGCAAATGCATCTATTTGCCCAAGAAAACACACTTTCTCTTACTGTTTAGTGTTTGCATTTGTTCACTTGAAAATAGACACATGGGCCCTGGCTGGTGTGGCTCAGTGGATAGAGCGTCGGCCTGCGGACTGAAGGGCCCCAGGTTCGATTCCGGTCAACGGTAAAAGCCTGGGTTGCGGGCTTGATCCCCAGTAGGGGGCGTGAAGGAGGCAGCCAATCAATGATGCTCTTTCATCATTGATGTTTCTATCGCTCTCTCCCTCTCCCTTCCTCTCTGAAGTCAATAAAAATGTATTAAAAAATAAAAATGTGACCATGTGTATGCATAATACAAAATCATGTGTCTACTCCAGTGATGGCGAACCTATGACACGCGTGTCAGAGGTGACACGTGAACTCATTTTTTTGGTTGATTTTTCTTTGTTAAATATGTAAAATAAATATCAAAAATATAAATCTTTGTTTTACTATGGTTGCAAATATCAAAAAATTTCTATATGTGACACGGCACCAGAGTTAAGTTAGGGTTTTTCAAAATGCTGACACGCCGAGCTCAAAAGGTTCGCCATCACTGGTACTCAATAAAAATATATTTAAGAAATAGACTCATGATTTTGTATTATGCATACACGTGGTCACATTTTTATTTTTTTAATACATTTTTTTGATTTCACAGAGGAAGGGAGAGGGATAGAGAGTCAGAAACATCAATGAGAGAGAAACATTGATCAGCCGCCTCCTGCACACCTCCCACCGGGGATGTGCCCACAACCAAGGTACATGCCCTTGACCGGAATCGAATCTGGGACCCTTCAGTCCGCAGGCCAACGCTCTATCCACTGAACCATACCAGTTAGGGCAGAGGATTTTATTTTATTTTTTACTGATTTTTAGAGAGAGTGGAAGGGAGGGAGGGGGAGAGAGAGAAACATCAATGTGAGAGACACATTGATTGGTTGCCTCTGGCAGGTGCCCTGACCATTCAAGTCAATGGTGCCAGGGATTGAACCTGCAACCCAGGTATGTGTCCTAGACTAGGAATTGAACTCAGTCCTTCAGTGCACGGGCCGGCGCTCTAACCACTGAGACACTGGCCAAGGTGAGCCTGTCATTCTTTTGGGGTAAGATCTCTAGTCCTGTCATCAATACTCTACCCCATAATTCTTAGAATTAGGATTACTTCCTGATTATTGGAACCTTTAAAATTGTCATTATTTTCATTGAGATTAAGTGCAGTTGCCCCTTAGTCCCCTGGAACACTGCTCTCAGAGGCTTCTCCCACAAGTCAGCAACAGTAAGAACTCCCCAAAGAGGTCACCACGCCACACTGGAGGTCGCCATGCCACACTGGAGGTCGCCATGCCACACTGGAGGTCGCCATGTCACACTGGAGGTCGCCATGCCACACTGGAGGTCACCATTCCACACTGGAGGTCGCCATGCCACACTGGAGGTCGCCATGCCACACTGGAGGTCGCCATGCCACACTGGAGGTCGCCATGCCACACTGGAGGTCGCCATGCCACACTGGAGGTCGCCATGCCACACTGGAGGTCGCCATGCCACACTGGAGGTCGCCATGCCACACTGGAGGTCGCCATGCCACACTGGAGGTCGCCATGCCACACTGGAGGTCGCCATGCCACACTGGAGGTCGCCATGCCACACTGGAGGTCGCCACGCCACACTGGAAGTCGCCACGCCACACTGGAGGTCACCATGCAACACTGAAGGTCATCATGCCACACTGGAGGTCGCCATGCCACACTGAAGCAGCTGGGGAAGGGACATGCAAATCCCAACAGCACCTACTTGTTGATGAGTGCGAACCGCATTGAGCAGACCAGCGAGAAGGAACCTATGATATACAATAAGCAATGACTAAATAAATCAAATAAAGTGAAATAAAATAATCATAATGCAAGGAAAGGCCTCAAAACGGGGAGCTGCACAGAACGGCCCCAGAAGAGGACAGACCACGTGAAAGAAGAGAGTCCTGCCCTAACCGGTGTGGCTCAGTGGATAGAGCGTTGGCCTAGGGCAGTGATGATGAACCTATGACACGCGTGTCAGAGGTGACACGCGAACTCATTTTTTTGGTTGATTTTTCTTTGTTAAATATGTAAAATAAATATCAAAAATATAAATCTTTGTTTTACTATGGTTGCAAATATCAAAAAATTTCTATATGTGACACGGCACCAGAGTTAAGTTAGGGTTTTTCAAAATGCTGACACGCCGAGCTCAAAAGGTTCGCCATCACTGGCCTAGGGACTAAAGGGCCCCAGGTTCGATTCCGGTCAAGGGCATGTACCTTGGTTGCGGGCATATCCCTAGTGGGGGGTGTGTAGGAGGCAGCTGATCGATGTTTCTCTCTCATTGATGTTTCTTACTCTCTATCCCTCTCCCTTCCTCGCTGTAAAAAATCAATAAAATATATATATTTTTTTAAAAAAGTAGAAGTCCTATATGTTTTGTTATGTAAACCCAATTGTTGGCCTGGGGTGCCTCCCCTGACCCCGAGAACCTGCAGTCCTCAGACCTCTTGTAGGGCCTGCATGTGGGGCCTCTTACAGGGTGCCTGCCCTCTGTGACAATGCCACTCCCTGCACCCCTGTAACACCCTCACCACCTGGCACAGGTGGGGGGGGACCTGGGCAGGTGGCCAGTGAGTGGCCAGATGAGCAGGTGGGGATGATGGCTCTCTACCCGTCTCCTTGCAACACGGTGCTGGGCTGGGACGAAGAAGCTTTTTGTCACCCTGCTGGTGTGGCTCAGTGGATAGAGCGTTGGCCTGCGGACTGAAGGGTCCTGGGTTCAATTCCAGTCAAGGGTACATGCCCGGGTTGCAGGCTCCATCCCCAGTGGGGGGCGTGCAGGAGGCAACCGAGATCAGCGATTCTATCAATTGATGCTTCTCTCTCTCCCTCTCCCTCTCCCTTCCTCTGAAATCAATAAAAATACGTTAAAGAAGAAGAAGCTTCTGTCCTCCAGGAGGGATCTTCCTAAGGGACCCCAAGGCCTGGGGCGGGACCCCACTGGTCATGTGGCCGTGGCCCGTGTGCCTGCTCCAGGTGGTGGGACTCGCTGGGCCTGGCCCTGAAGCTCCGGAATGCCCGGCGCCGTGGGGGCAGGGGGTGCTGACCTCACAATGGCGGGGCCTGCTGTCCCTGGCTAGCCCGCTGCTGCTGGTAGCTGCTGCCCCCTGCCCCCCCACAATGCCGGGCATGTCCCTCCTCAGCAGCTACGAGGGTCTGCGGCAAGAGATCCAGCGGCTGGCCCAGGAGAACGAGGAACTTCGGCGGCTGGTGCAGCTGATCCAGGAGAACCAGGAGCTGAAGCTGGTGCTGAGGAACCGCAGCAGCGGCCTGGGCTTCTACAGCTCGACGCTCCTGGCGGAGGTGGCCTCCAGCCCCCGGCAGCCCCGGCGCAGGACCCTCAAGTTCAAGGATGCCGAAAGAGGTGAGCAGCACCGGGCACGGGGGGCTGAACCAGGGGCCGCCAGGCCTCACGCGTTCGGCTTCTGCCAAGACAGTTCAAAGGAGGGGAACCGCCCGCCTGCATGGCTCAGTGGTTGAGCGTTGACCTGTGAACCAGGAGGTCACGGTTGGATTCCAGGTTTGGGGCTCACTCCGCAGTAGGGGGCCTGCAGGAGGCAGCCCATCAGTGATTCTCTCTCGTCATTGATGTTTCTATCTCTCCCTCTCCCTTCCTCTCTGAAATAAAATATATATTTTTAAAAAAAGGAAGAAAAGAAAGCGGGACTCCAGGTGGCTCCTGGGTCTTGGCCAGACGCTGCAAGTGGGCAGCTGCCTTGGACCCGGCAGGTGGGAGGTGGCCCCAGGCCTCACCACACTCTGGAGGCCTCAGGCCCCACGGAGCCAAGGGGATGTGAACCGGACAACCAGGCCCGACTGCCTGTCCTGCTGCAGCCAACGGAGCAGAGGCCGACCGGGTCGAGTCCTAGATGAGCATTTATTCCAGTCCTGCCGGTAGCGCAGGAGCAGCAGGCCGTGCACAGACACCTGCTCTGCACCCTAGGCCGGCGGCTTATGGGGTGGACAGAGAAGATGACAGGGGGCAGGAATGACAGGCGTGGGGAGCAGGCCAGGGGCCAGTGGGTAAGCTTCCCCGACAGTAGGCAGTTCTTGAATGAGGATGGACCGCGGGCTCCGAGGCCGACTCCCGGGTCCAAGGCCGACTCCCAGGTCGGGGCGCACAACTCCCGGCCAGGCTAGCGTGTCCTTTCTGTACCCAGAACTAGGCAAGCACGGCTAACTGACCAGGGTCAGTATTTCCCGTAACCATAGCTCCTCCCCAATATTCTATTTTTGCCCCCAACAGGGAGACACGAGTGGGTGCGCTGGAGGCGCAAGGGCTGGCGGCCAAGGTGCCTGCAGCCAGGCGGTGGGGGAGGGGACGCACGGTCATCCGGCTGGAAAGGCCCCCGCCCAGGGCAGAGGCAAATCCGGGCAGGCAGAGCC